CAAAGAGGGTTTTAAGCATTGAAAGGCCATATTTTGCCTCAGAAAGGAAACAAAACAGCATGAAAGCTTTTACGCTAAGCTAATTAGAGTTGCTGATTATAACTGTAAAGTTCCCAATTTCTTATGATGTTTCATTGAAGAGCTATGCCAGGTAAGAGGTAGCGGCCATTTTTTCAGTGTTCCTAAAAAGTGCGGTTACACGTTTAGAAAGCTTCGCAATCTTGTGAATAGTTGAGTATTGAACTCAGCGTCCATAAAAACCCTATTACACAAGTTTTCACAATTTTTTGAAAAATTTTGAAACGGCAGCTTTTTCCACATTGACTCCATATGTTTCAAGTTTCTACCGTAATCCTACAGTAATGAAGAGAAATGGGCGATTCGTTCTATAATGCAAATCTAAGTTGAAGCCAGCTCTACAAAACGGTACCTGAAGCAAGGCAAAAGACTTCTTGGGAAGAGAGATATTAACGATCAAACGTTCGATACATTTTTTTGGGACACCCTGTATATAACTCAAACACTGTACCTTTGTTTGTAAGGATGTTTGTGGCTCATAAACTTCTTTGTATGTGAACCAAGGAGGTTGAAATTTGTTCCCCTATAAATGAGACACGGCGCAGAAGATAGGCCACTTTTCGCGACTTTTCGCTGGGTCCTTCTATCGATTTATTGATTGTTTACTTGAAGCTAGGAGAATGGAAGCATATCAATCATTTCTCTAAGCTAGTAGGGGGCGGTAGAGACCATTTACATTTTCCGGTGAGGAGGATGCGGTGTCACAAAGCAGCCGGTCAAGAAGGAAGGCAATTTCACCACGGATGCTACGGGAGCGCTTCAATTCGAACATCGGAGCTGAAGCGAAAGAGAAAATGAAGAGAAAATGCAACTTGAAGGAAATGGAGTGATGGTAAGCATAAGACATTCTGGAATAGACCCTTTGCTGGGCCACTTTGGATCCTCGACCCGGGCGAGACCAGGGCCGCAGCTGTTCGAAACAAATGTCTCGTCTTGTCTTCATTCTTCTATCTTGCTATCTGCAAACGCTGGGGGGAGAGGGAGGGGTTGAAAAGGGGTGGAGGGTCGTGCTGAATTCCTACCCGTGGGGGGGGGGGAGGAATCGTATCCGGCGTCGTATGCCACACCGTGCGCTCGACCCTAGTCTAGAGCTAGTTTGGGTGGGGTTAGGGGCATAGTTGGGGTTCGGAGTTCAATTAGGGCTAGTTACCGTATACCGCGGGAGCATCCGGAGCACCAAACGGGAGGCTCCAGAGAACGAGTGGCGAATTCCCGCCAAGGAGACCCCGGCCACCCCCCATTTTGCCCTTCGGAGGTATCCCAACTGTCTGAGAGCAAGTCCTCAAAAAGAATTTCTGGACTTTCGTAAATTTTCGCAGGCCTATAAGTCCAAAATCTCAAGAAGGGTATGTCGAGAACCAAAACGAAAAAAATTTTATGCTTATTGTTCAATTTTTTTATCCTCGCATGTGTCCCGCTTACGCAAGGTCTGCTTTTCTTGTGAGATGTCTCCATATCGTCCTATCTGAGGCAAGGTCTTCATCTATAACAAGTTCTCGCAGGTCGGCCTTGATTCTGTTCATCCACCTCATCTTGGGTCTACCTCTGGGCCTTTTGCCTGGTGCCTCCACAGCCAGGGCCAACTTGGTGATGTGACTTTCATCCCTTCTGCTCACATGCCCATACCATACCGTAACCTCTTTTCCTGCATTTTCTGGGCAGTTGGTGCTACTTTCATTCGCGCTCGTATAGTGTCATTGCAGATGTGATCCTTCAGTGTGACTCTTAAGGTCCATCGTAGCATCCTTGTTTCCATGACACTGAGCTTGCGCTCCTCGTTCCGCGTACACGGCCAGCACTCACTGCCATACAGCGCTGCTGGGCGGATAACGGTCCGGTACAGTTGAGACTTAAGTTGTACTGGCATTCGTTTGTTGCACAGAACTCCTGTTAAGGCTCTCCATTTCATCCATGCTGTGTTCATCCTTCCTGCGACCTCCTCTTGTAAGCCTCCTTCCGCTGAGATGCGACTGCCTAGGTACTTGTAAGACGTTGTTTTCTTTAGCTCTTCACCATCGATGCTTATGGTACCTGGAGTTTGTTTCCCCACTTCCACATATTCTGTCTTCCTGGTGTTGAGCTTCAGTCCATACAACTCTAGCCTGTTTTTCCAGTTTGCACCTCGTCTTGTAGCTCCTTTCTGGTACTTGCTATCAAGACCACATCATCTGCGTAGAGAAGTGTCCAAGGGGGTTCACGTCTAAGCGGTTCCATCATGGCGTTCATCAATTGATGAAGAGCAAAGGAGAGAGAACTGAACCTTGGTGTACTCCAACCTTGATTTTGAAATCTTTCGATTGCCCTGCAGCTGTTTGCACGTGGCTTGACGCGTTCTGGTAGATCAATTTTATCCACTGAACGTACTCCTCTGGCACCCTGTGTTTCCGTAAGGCCCACCATATGACTTCATGGGGCACCTTATCGAAGGCTTTCTCCAGGTTCAGGAAGGCTGCATGCAATCCCTTCTGCTTCTCTCTGTATTTCTCCATCACTATCCGAACGGAGTGGATTGCATCAGTTGTACCTACTCCTTTCACGAATCCGCACTGATTCGGTGACAACTCTATGATATCTCGAAGGCGTGTTTCGATTACTCGCTCGAAGATTTTTAGAGTGTGGCTCATCAGTCGGATTGGTCGGTAGGATGCGCAGTCTGCTATGTCTCCTTTGTTCTTCCATATCGGGATGGTCGTGCTGGTGTACCAGTCGCGAGGCATACTCTTGCTCCTTATGATTTGATTGAGGAGACTTGTTAGCCATGTGGCTCCTGATTGTCCACATAATTTCCAGAACTCGCTTGGTATGTCGTCTGGACCAGTCGCTTTGCCATTCTTTGTTCTTCTTACAGCCAGCCATACTTCCTCTTCCGTGACCGCTGGTACTGGTCCCTCTATGGGGCTGGCTTCTGGGATGGAGTTGATGGTGCGGCCTGTGGTGGCCATCTCTTCGAAGTAGGTTCTCCATCTTTCGGTAATGTCCTCTGGTTTTCTCAGCGTCCTACCAAGTTTGTCTTTGATATGGAGGAAGTGCTCCATATCTTTCGTGGACTCCGCTCTTCTTCTCGCTATCCGGTATATTTCGCGTTCTCCCTCGCGGGACTCTAGTTGATCGTAGAGCTCCTTTGAGTACACCTGTTTTGCCTTCTTTACGGAAGCCTTCGCAGCACGTTTGGCTTGTTGGTACGTTTCGCGATCGTCCTCTGATTTCGTTTTATACCATCGCTTGTACGCATTCCTCTTCTCCTTTATGACTTTCTGCACTTCATCATCCCACCACCACGTTTCTCGATTGATCCTTCTTTTTCTGGCTTTGTACTTCCCAGGATCATGCATGCCACTTCGTGGACTCGATCTTTCAAGCTTTCCCAGGATTGATCTGGATTATCTTGCAAGCGTGGCAGATTTGCTAGCAGTGCTTGTTTCGCCGCGTTGTTGCCTTTTAATCTCCACCATTTAATGCGTGTCCTAGTCTCTGTGGCTCTCCTGGTGTGTCTATCCATTGAGATTCTGATGTCGAGAAGCAGTGGTCTGTGCTGAGGTATGCAGCTCTCACCGGTAATGACTTTGCAGTCCTTTATGTTTTTGAGATCACGTTGTCGGATAGCCCAGAAGTCTATCTGTGTTCGGCAATCGCCACTCGCATATGTTATGAGGTGATCATCCTTCTTGATGTAGTATGTGTTCGCCAGGACCAGATCATGAGCTGAGACGAATTCCACAATGCGCTCACCTTCTTCGTTGCATGTTCCGTATCCATGGCCTACGTGACATTTCCCGGCTTCTCCTCGCCTTTTTCCCACATGTCCGTTGAGGTCCGCTCCTAGCAGGAGTGTCTCATCCAGTGGAACTGAACCGATGTGGTCATCCAACTCCTGCCAGAAAGCGTCTTTTTCGTCATCCTTACATCCGACTTGTGGCACATAGGCGGTAATTACTCGTAGGACCTGATTCCCAGTATCTATCTTGATGCTCATCAGACGATCGCTAATGCGCTCAACGTCAAGTATATTGCTCCGTAGAGTCTCCGAGACAGCTATACCAACCCCGTTTCTAGTGCAGGTGGCACCGTTGTAGAGGATCTTATATCCATCTCCGATGTCGCGTGACTTTGTCCCGCTCCACTTTGTTTCCTGTATGCAGGCTACATCGACTCGCCGTCTCTTCAGAAGGTCTGCTAACTCACGAGAACGAAAGGTGAGTGTGCCCATATTGATGGTGGCTAGACGGAGAGTCTGCGATGCCTTGGTCCGTTGCCTCTGGTGAGGCTAGCCGCTTTAGCCGTCCCCGTTCACCTTGCTGAGACGGTAAGCCTCGCCCACTCTTCGCATTCGTCAGGCTCGAATGCGCGTCGCTTCCGGGAGACGCCCTAGCCTTTACTCGAGATTCTACATGAGACATGTCTGCTATGGTGATGCGACGGGGTGTTTCTCAGCCGGCTTGTCGCATGCCCTGCCCTTCTTTGGAAGGGCAGCCTGACGCTGGAATTGTGAGCAGAATTTTTGCCGCAGAAATTAGGCTCAGTATGGAATCGACCGTAACCTTCAGCACGGTAATGTTACGTAGAGCACTAACCACTAGACTAACTCTGCTCTACATGCTTATTGTTCAATTGTTTAAGAATAATTACGATGATAAAATAACAAATATAAAAGAAACACTTGCACATTTTGACACACGCGGCCTTTTCAATATTACCCTCCACCCTCTCCCCTCCCCTCTCTCCGCCACAAATAGCATCCATTGGTTGTTTAACTACCTATACACTTTTGCCACAGCTTCAAAAATGAGATTACCACCACCTCCTGATATCTTAATCTCATGTCACCGTAAAAGCTGACACACGTGATCTCTTTCATAACCACCCTCCAGCCTGTCCCCTCCCCTCTCTCCACCACAGATAGCACCCATTCCTTGTTTACCTACCTGTAAACTTTTGCCACAGCTTCAAGTATTAGATCACCACCACCATCGGGATATCTTAACCTCATGTCACCGTAAAAGCCGTAGCCTCTGCAATAAAAGTGAGGAAACACCTGGTCTTAAATGCAGTTGATCAAGCTAACTTGTTCACAGATTTGATCTCATGATTCCCACGTAGCAGAAATACCTGTCGGGGAAATCGAATTTGAAGAGCAAGTAAGAGAACTAATACTTCAAGCGAGTTTCTAAAATTTGAGGTGACATTGACGGGAGTCTTGAAAGGTCTATCACCTTCCTCTATCAACGTAATCTCCGAGGAACAGGTATCTTTTGTAGAATGGCCAACCACAGTTCTGCAAATCAAAACATCGAATATGAGTTGGTGTCATGACTTGCACCATTAACAAAAAATTCTAGTTCTAGCGGTTCATAAAGCTGAATACAAATTAAATATTAGGTTGTCTCATAATTAATGCACGTTTTATGAATTCCAACTTCTAATCAAGACAACTCTTTCCCAAAACCATTTTTCTGAGCGCAATGAAAATCACTGTAAACAACAAACCTTTGACTATAGAACGCATGCTTTTATTGGATCGCAGCCACTTTAAGAAAGATTTTATAGCCTGAGAAACCTATACTTTGGAAGAGCTTAACTTTCGCTTGCATGTAATAGGATCTCGCGGACTTTGCTCATTATGTAGCCAATGGTCGGTTGTTTGTGAAGTTGTGGAGTGAAGTTTGAATTTTACGGCATATTTCTGTGAGAAAATTTGCAAAAAAACTAAAAGTACCCATTTTTTTCAGTATTTTGAAAAATCCAAAAAACTGCCTTTTTGGGATTTTTCAAATTTTTTCTCTTCGAAAAGACGATGAGATGTTGCCGTTTTCCTAGCATTAGTTGTACTAGGTCTACTCTACTTGCATATAGCGAAATTTATACAGTCGCTTTTCGCTTGAAATTTTTATGCGGCTTAGATGATCAACTACCAGCCAAGTTTGAGACAAGATTTCTCTGCTCGAAATTTTTCAAAAATCTCATACTAACAAACGTTCTGTAGCACAAAGCTTCGCGATCATTACAGATATTTTTTGAAAAAAATCCGTGTACTTTTCATGGATTCACAGCAAGGAGAGTCAGGGAAGAAATTTTATATTTTGATCACTTGTTTTTGAAGGCATGAAACTTCGGCTTCAACAAAGATTTGCGAAAACGAAAGCACATATTAGAAACTAGAGGAATCGGGCTTTTCGATGCTATAAGGGGTTTTGAGGAAAAATGTTTTACTTTTGAAAGCCAGCTTTCTCAAAAAAGAGTTTAGAAAAACGTGCATTAATTATGAGACAACCTAATATATAGAAATACGAAAAATAGAAAACTCATGACCTTTCCATCATATGAGACAAGAAAATGATACAACAAGTCATGTGAACATCAGCTATTTACCTTACAAGGAGAGGATACTTAGTCGAAAGCACCAATCTAAATGAGACATAAATCTTCTTAAAGCGCTCGAAACGCTGATTTCAAATCTGCAGTTTCTAGCTGCGGAGCGGTTTTGTGGAGGGAGTTATGAGGAGTGTTTCCCTCTAAAGTCGAGGCGCCCTCCACCATATCTCCCTACCTATAAGCACTGTAGAGGACTACCAACTGGTGGCAACTGGCCACATGGTAAGTAACATGAATGAGGATTACAGTAAGGATCATGCTACTCGTATTACTTTGGCTTTTTAAAACTTCTATAGCATCAACATCGTCAAAAATTTCAAGCTTTAGAGCTTTAAAGCCATTTAGAAGCTCAATTTTGCAAAAACTGCGATAAAGTTGCATGCGAAAAAGATTAAAACCTTGACATTCTCCTTATCAAGCACGTCACTTACCACTAGGTCAGTTGCCATTAGTTGGTACTTCTCTACAGTGCTTATAGTAGGGGGAGAAATGGTGGAGGACGCCTCGACCCCAGAGGGAGACACCCTCATATCTTTCTACAAAACCGTTCCGCAGCTAGAAACTGCAGATTTGGAATCAGCGTTTCAAGCGCTTTAAGACGATATATGTCTCATCTGAATTGGCGCTTTCGACTAAGTATCCTCTCCTTGTTAGTTAAGTTCAATCATAAAAATCTCACAGATCTTTGCTGCCATTCTGGTGCCTCCCCTCCCCTCTCAACCCAAGCTCACACATAATCTCATTACTATTTCCTTACCTCAAAGATGTGTAATAAGTCTGCATACTGCCCGTGAATATCTCCCACTATAATGATCGGAGCTGAGAGTTCAATCAATGAGGGCAGTTTTTCGAGAGAAGCCTTTAACCAATTGTGAAGATGAGAATAATTGCTAGATGGCTTACTTCGGCTTTTTGTAGTATATCTAAAAGAAATGGCATTGAGTAGTTGTGCTCGACAGGTCCATGAGCAAAATGATCGCGAATGACTTGATCCAAATTCATTTTTTCTCTGTAAGGAAGTTTGTGTCTTTTCTGCAATAGGACATACGTTATGGAATGCATGATTTCTATAATTCACGTAAATTGAGCTACTACGTCTTTGCCTACTATGTCGCTTGGGAAGAACCATTTAGAGAAAACTCATTCCGAATGGTCTCAAAAGCTTAGAAGCTCTATCTCATTAGTTTTTCAGCTTCCCACTTTTCTGAGCGGAACTCGCTCAAAATATATTAGAAAGTGCATGAAAGATTGTATAGGCATAGTACACTCTCTCCTTAGTTTAGATTCATTCAGAAAACGCCCTTTGTGATTATTGAACTTTTCGAAAGTCAGGGATAAAATTGTGCAAGTGAACTGTTTTCATTAGTGAATAATCATAGTATTCTTTTCACTTATTTGGATAATTGGAATTGCTTGGTAAGAAAATATTTTGAGAAAAAAGTGGCTGCCAGTCCGTTCCTTTCTTGGAAATTTCTGAGTTTTAAGCACAATAACGTCCTCAAAATAGCGCCGCTGGTATAGTGAGGACTTCTTTACTGCTCCCTAAGCTTTGTTAGTCAATCGATCTGAATTCCAGTACGTTGGAAATTCAACGATAGCGCGCAAATGCAGCACTTCTAAAATGTCAAAACAATGCGCAATTTCTTCAAAGACACTGACACAGTGCTAATTGAAGAACGAGGAGAAATGTTCAATCGAGCCATTTTGCTGTCGCCTTTCTCATTAATGTGCAAATGCCGACCTCGGCTTCTAGAATCCCCTATAGCTAGCATAAGGCACCCGCCACTCTTGATTTTCTTGATCCACTTGATCTACTTGATCCGCTTCGTGCAAGATGCGTGTCACTAATTTGTCATTTGATGTCGAGTAAAGCGAATTTGCATAACCATCAAAATTCCTTTCTGCCTAAGCGGCACCAAATGACAAGCTGCGTGTGCGCGTTTTGCACGAAGCCGACTAAGCGGATAAAGAGAATCAAAAGGATTAAGTATGGCGAGTGCTCAAGGGAGCTTTGCAGATAGGGTTGAAAAATTGGGGCTCAATCTTTATTTGCAAGATGAGATCAATCTCACTCAAAATACACTTCCGCTAACAGTGAGTTCTTCGATGAGAAACTTGAAGGGAATTATATGCTTTCTTTGTATTCTTCGGGAATTTGATCCAAAACAGATGGCGGCAAATCTTACTCCATAGCGCGTGCCCCTCTCTCCTCGCCTTCCTCTCCCATCCTTCTCCCACCTTCGCGTTCGCAGAAGGGCCGGAGATGGGATGCTGCAGTGACACAGGCCGCGCATCGCTGTGATCAACCGAAGATTGCGAATTGGCTGCAATCTAGTCCCTCTCTCAAATCCGCGCCTGACTTGCTCTGAATATCTGTCGAGCACGGTTGTCATGATCACAGTTGAGCAAGAGGTCAGGCACAAGTCTTCAGAAAAGAGTCGGACGTACACACTGCATGTCTCCTAACAACTCCTTCTCCCTCCCGTTCACCTCCGGAACCTCAGAGTGTAACAGTCAGGAGAATACCATTCTTTTCTGAAGAGTTTTTGATTTTTCGCAGTGTGTACGTCCGACTCTTTGCGGTTGCACTTTACTATCACACGTAATCTGACGGCTGATTTTGATCTGAATGAGCCTATTAAAAAAACCATGATTTACCCAGGGGGGGGGGGGGGGTTGGCTTAAAATCCCTACTTGACAAAATGAGCTGCGAGGCTCAATACTCATACCAGGACCGGAGAGATTTCTGAATTTTGAAGACAAGTGAACGGGGCCAGGCACAAGACTTCAAAAGCCCAGTAGCAGCCTGACTTTTTTAAGGGTTGTGCCTGACCCAATAAACTCTATCACCGAAGAAGCTTTTCTACTTTACTTTTATGTAATTCGCTAACACAAACCTCGAAGATTCTGCAGTGAGTGTTTGAGCTTATGTGAACTCGATATAGATTTGTGGTCATTGGTGGAGTTGAGGTATTTTAGGTAAAAAGCGAGCCACTGAAAGGCAGCTCTTCTTAATCCGCCAATTGTGTGCGGTATAAAGTCTGATAGTCTAATTTACCACAAACTGAAAGAAAGTATTATTCATTATGAGTGCAAAAAAAGCTGACGTCTTTCACTTCTGTGACCAAGTCAGTCATGCTTGAAAATCACGCTTTTCAGACGTTAGCAAACACTAGAAAATGTAATAAGTAATTATCCGTGGAGCTCGTAAAGGTGAGGGTATGCCGATTTTAGAAATTATACCCAATTACACAGCAATCTCCTTTGGAACCTTATGAGATACGCAAGGTAAGAGATGAAGACTTGAAGTTTGGTGGAGACTTGTTAGTGGATAATCAGTGTGGTGTTTACGATAGCCATTCCTTCTCTGTGGAGTTGTGATGTTTACAGGTCTAGCGCTTTTCTTCTTCACCTTACTCGATCAGAGTAATTCTTAATTTTTAACAAATTCGGTTCTTGGTCACGACAACTCCCTCTTTTACCCCTTATGGACCTCTAAAGTCGGGCACGCCTGCCCTCACGCTCAACCCTAATTATGACTTATGTTGCTTACTGTCGCTCACCTGCCATGTGCAAAAGCTTATTAGAGTTTGGCGATACTTTACCGATTTCGCTGTTGCTAGCGTTACTGTTGTTACCTGTTGCACAATACAAGCGAGTGACAGTTCTTACCCTTGTTTACCGGGATCCCGCTTTAAATACAACTATCGACTATGTTTGAACTTTCATTAGCTTCTTAAAAAAACTCATTCACGAGCTGGCTAGACTGCGAATAAGAGACTGTAAAGAGTGGAGGGGACTATGTCGCGGACAGGCTCCGCTTCTGTGAATTCTGCCACAAATCGACCCCTCATGTTGCAGTCTTCGCTAGTAGTGCGCGACTCGCCTATGGGCGAAGAGACATTATACGTTTCCACTTCGCTCCATTAATTTCATCCATCTCCTAAATGACAAATTAGTGATGCCGTGGTTTCCTTTGAAATGCAGGAATAATACAGCATGGACCATAGTGCCTTCTGCTAATTGGGAAATCTATCATGTACATTCAATACGAAATCCGGTGAGAGCGTTTACAATACAACACAAAAATGGATGACACTGGTGTCTGCGCAACAATCAATAATGATGACTGCTGTGGCATCGATAGCAGTAGAGCTGATGGAGTACTGATCAAACAAACTGTCCAAACAGGTGCATATCCTAAAATGTAGCATAAAAAAATGACTTCAATTCTCTTCCGTATCTGCTGAACGCCTTTATAGACAAAGTTATGAGCAATTTTATTGTAAGGAAATAGTACATACGAACTGCAGAGTGGAACGCACAAATGCCTTGGCTCACGTCTAGCTATAGAATTTGGTCCATCATTGAGCTCAACATGGATTACGTCCAGACTTACAATCTGCATACATAATTTTTTTCAACATGAGGGTTTATATCTTCGTTAAGAGATAGGCTCAGCAAATATAAGAAGTAAATTTGGAACCTTATATGCAGCATTTATTGGCGTGCAGCTCGTTGATTAGCCACTTTGATTTTCGCCCATTCTCATAAGCCTCAATAAAATGCAGTTCAAAACATTTGCCTTAATTTCACGCGTATAGGATGCAGGGGATTCTTTTTTAAAATCGAAAGCACAGACACGCGAAGGACTCCGCGACCAAAAAACTATTTAACCTTTGATTCAACTGGCTTGGCACCATTAGGGCGGGGTTTTGTGGTCTAATTGAGGCCGCTCGCGCCCGCGACGCACCTGCGTCTCTTTCGCGCGAGTGCTCTCTGATCATTACCTGCCTTAATTAGGTCACGAAGCCTCGCCTTTGCCGATGCCAGCCAGTTGACTCAAATGATACAGTATTGCTGCCTGAGAGTATCATGCGGCATAAGTCTTGTTTTTCGAAACGCAATGAGACCGCTGGGAAGTATGCTTGTAAAACCGAAAAAAGTGCGCCTCATACGCCTGAAATTAGGGTGTATAATTTGAGCGTTGCAATCATATGTATTCAAACACTTTGAATACATATGATTGCAGGATAGCTCGTCAGGACTGGTTGATGATGGGGTGGAAATTCTCAATAAAAAACTTTGCAGGCAGTGTCCCGCCAGATTCACGTCCTGGGGAATATTGTTATGGTGGGGTTCCTGTCATCCCACTGACCTCCAAGTCAGTCCGGCTGGTTGATGTTCCCCTCGGGCCGAGAAAGTGCCCTCAAACCGGCGCGCTCTCAGACGACTTTGCTTACCGTTCGGCGCGGGACCGCACGACCGCAATCCCGCATTGTGCATGCTATCCAAAGCAAACATTACAGGCAGCAGGGTCTTTGTGCCAGGGCCTTTCAACTTTCCCTTGACATTCTCGTCCGAGCTGCCTTTTGGAAATCGGGTAAACGCTTCGAAAAAGGTCTTTTCACCCGTTTCGAAGCTCAAATTCGGGTTCTACGGGTCGAAAAGGCCCAAATATGCGAAAAGATGGAAATGCAGAATCTGTCGGGACACTGCCTTTAAGGCCAACTTCTGCATTTCTGCTTGCTTCGTTCTGGAAGTGGACCACGTGCGGTGATTGCTGAATGCTGCTACTCAAATTTGATATTGCGTTTGATGAAATTCACAGACTGGGGCCTAGAGGTTTCCAATAATGTTGAGTAATGCTCAAAGCAAATAGCATTTACAGAACAGTTACCCTTTATCAAGACTGTGCGCAAGATAACAGGATGAGAGTTTGTGCTTCATATGGCGAGCGCCACCTTACAAAGCACACTTGCGTAAATGAAGCAAAAAATCGAAATTTTTCGGAAAAATTTCTGACATAACTTGTCTAAGGATGCGGTATGATATTACTTTGTATCATATCGAATGTAGTGACATCACAAACTCTAGAGTTTACTTCCTGTCACTTTTTGTTGCTCTATAAGAGACGTCATGAAGCTCGTCTCATAGATAAGCTGGTAGTTTATACACGCCTTCAATAATGCAATATAACTGAGTGAAATATCCTTACCTGGAGCTTGGCTAATTTCCCCAGGGCTAGTTCGTTTGAGGTGTCTGAGGTGCAAAGATATATCAGTTTGAATCGATGCAGCACAACGGATTGCATACCGTTAAGTTATTAAGCGAGAGCTAGAGCAGCTGAACTAAGCAATAAAATGACCTCACCCCTTCTGGTCATATACATAAGGCCGTAACTCATTATAATATCTAGTTTATTGCAACCCTCCTCAACAGTAAGTGGTCGACTGCCGTACGGTTAAAACATGGTTGAGTAAAGCTCCTCTCGAGCGCGGTTAGAGAAGCTTGTGCAGACAGTGTTTGCATAAAAGTTACATGCTCGCTCGCTTCTCGCTTCTCTGCCGACTGAACCAAATTGAAGGTTAGCAAAATAATGTCGCACTTCAGCATAGGATCAGAAATTTTATAGCATGACTATCAAACAAAATGTTGAGACAAGCACAAATAAAGAGATCATTGTAAGTTGTGTGAAGTACAGAATGACCAAATAGACATTGGGTATTAAGGCACCTAAGTGAACTATATAAAGGTTAAGACAGCCATAAGCTCATTCGAGAAAAATACTTTTCAGTATACGGTACAATGGAGTAGAGGTCCAAGCAACACAAATACCAAAAATAAAAGGATACAAAGAGAGGAGTATGTAAATGATAATACGTCAGATGAAGTTTGAGGAGCTAACATCTACCTTCCTCAGCAATTAAGCTTTTTTCGAGGAAAATTATGAGCACTTTTGAGTCTTTGCAAGAAGTAGCTGGATGGAAGGAGGGGTCTTTAGACATCAACAGCCCAGAATAGCGTATGTGTGAAAACTAGTGTTGAATTGGAATGCGCAATAGTACAAAGCAACTCACATTTGTCTACAGTTTATCCCTAGGCGAGCGTCAGAACCGCCGCAGGTTGTCGCAGCTGCCTCACTGTGGTCCTCGCGCTGTGTGCGCGGATGGGAAGCTTGGACATTTTCCAGCTTCGATCAGTGCCGCTTGATGTCTGCCGTCTACGATAATTTCTTGGTTTTGCCAGTCTGTTTTGCCCATTCGCTGAGTGGCAGTTTGAAACTGTTTCTTCTCTTTTTTTAATCGTTCGAATTTATCCTATAGCTTCATTAAGAATCGACTCTATTTTTAGCAAGGCAATATCTGCACAATCTACAGCCAATTTCTCAGGTCATGTCACACGTCTTTGATGGCGACAGCTCCATATTACATATATGACATTAGGAACGATTACCAAGCAAATCACTTTTTTCTCACAACTGCTGCAAACTCTGCAGTTTACGGCTGCGACTATTTGTTCTACCAAAAGGACAAAAACTGCTGATTTAAGAAGAGCTGGTACTTAAGCCAATCCTAAATGCGCTTATCCAAAAAATCGAAATATCAAAAGTTCACGAAAAAATGGCCAAAGAAAAAGCGAAAAAGAATGAGGAGAAGGCGGACACGAAGCTGCGCATTGATCGTAAACTGGCAAAACGCACAGATGATTCCGCGACCGCAGCGCAAGGCGGTTGACAATCCGAGCCCCGGCGGTTTTGACACACATGTTGGAATAAGCTGTACACTGGCAGCTGTGATTCATTAGCAGTGCGATCTAAAAGCCTCGAATCCATTACTGAGGTCACGCTTCTCAGGACACATTCAACTTGTCACCTAACTAAAACAAATTCTTTGAAGGTATAATAAGTTAGTTGTAAGAAAAGCAGCGTGGACACTATCTCCCTCCTTGTATACAATGGTAGTTACCACTAGGGTAATCAGTTATCAAAACTGCATACAGCTCTTTCACCTATATGAAATGATAAGAAAGGTGTATCGGCTAGCTATTCACAAACCATGAGTTCTTCGTTATGTGGGGGATTTGGAGATTGGACACTAGTGAAAAATTGGCTACCAGTCCTCAAAGTACTGATCCGTTGCAAAATATCCCGAAACTCTTTGCGGTATGCAGATCTGTAGCGATCCGAGAATAGGTAGGAAACGAAGAAGCACTGGCAGAAAGTTGGTAGAGTAAATATCACCTAAAAAGGTTGATGAGCCACGCTGTGAAATTATGTACTGACAGGGAATGAGCGAAGCCGATCTAGTTACGAATAGAACACAGCTTACGCCGTAAGTGTGATACAATCGTGCGTACTGCTCCGAGAGATATCTAACAGCTAAGTCGCCCAGCGTCATTAGACACCACGGAAATTCGAATACCAAGCTCAAGACGATGAAGGATCGTATAAGCTAAAAGGGAGCGTTCTCTCGAAAGCCTTAAACCTTGTCAGAAAATATTACTTTCACTTCAGCGAAAGGAGCGCAACAGTTTCTCATTGAATCTCTCACAACTGGATCTGCAAAAATGGCTGTAGACGAATAAATGAATAGATCGTTTGAGACAAGACTCGTATGCTTTGCACACAAGGATGTCCTAAAATAATGTCCCTGCTATTTAATCTTAACATCAGACATCACTCAAGTCCTAGTGTTTTTCGGATCTCAAGGTACAGCGTTGGCTTACTTCCACCTACTGCGATTCATTTCATATGATCATATGTGCATTGCACACATTGTCCATCTTTGGCATACTCGTCTTGGACTTGCAATCGCAAAATCGCAACATACTGACCAACTGTTATCTTTTACGTTATTTTGAGGTGAAGAGTAACTAAAAAGGAAAGAAAACGTAAGAACACATCAAAAAGCTTACCGGAAAGTTTGTCTTCCCCAAGAACCCAGGATGGGAACGCCAAAAGTAAACAGTTGTGCAATGACACAAATTATCTTATGAAATGATTCGAACATTACGGAGCAAATCACAAATCTCTCTCCGTTACTTTTGTAGAAGATTTGAACAGAATTTTGCGTATCAGACCTTGTCTCAAAAATAAAACTCCAAAAGAATTAGAAATATACTAGGTAAGTCAATCTGATAATGCCAAGCATAGGCATTGTCGTCGAAATCCGATTCGAGGGTCACACCAAATGCAAATACAGTGTTCCTGAAATTCGTCAAAAATTTGATTTAACGACGCTACCTAACGCTTTACAAAGCTGCACACGATTGTTTGCTTGACGGCTATAGCTACAAAAAATCTAGCTACAAAACGTATTAGGCAATGCGTGCAAAGCGTCCTCGAATCTTCCAGTCTCATAAGGAGATCAAGTCGCACTGGTAAGCTGGGAGGTAATACATGTCACTATAAGCGCCCTTCAAACGTCGATCCAATCTGCTTCCCGTGCTTACAGTTTTTATGGAAGGAGTATAGGCGCTTGCCCCCACAATGATTGGCTGCCTCAACGTAGCGTGGGAATAATCAAAATATCTTTTAAAATTTTTTAAAAATTCATCTTAGCCCTATAAAAAAATTTTTTTCGGGGGCGTGGCGTCAGCCACCTTTTTTCTGAAATTTCAGGGTTCTGAGCCCACGAAAATTTTAGACACACACTAAAAAAATTTTCGGAGTGCGTGGCTGACGCCACGCACCTTTTCGAAAAAATTTTTGTCCCCGCCCCCCCCCCCGAGTCGAAATCCTGGTTATGCCACTGGTACCACATCAACTGCAAGAAACGGACTTTAGGAAGAAGGACGTGTGACAGATGAGTGATGGGACCCTCATCACTCGTGGTGAAAAGGTTCCATCACGAAACGTTGGAGGCGTTGGCTTGTCGTCCATCCATCAATCGTCCATCTTGTCGATTCGCATGAGATCCTGTCACCTCGTCTAGCCATCATACGACTAGATCTCCACGTCAACCATCAGCATCTCAAATGCTACTCACCAACATCAGCAGCTGACAATTCAGAACTGAATGTTTTCTGCGAAGACGTAAAGCGGGTCGTTCGCAACGAGAAGTTTTTCTACAAGTTCGTTGGGTGACTTCAAGCGAAGATCTGGATGCCACTAGAAGAGGAATGTAGGATTGGAAAGTTTGGATATGGGCTTCGGAAGGAAAACGGCAGCCGCCTCGAGGGCTTCTCTCCGCCGCACGACTTTTCTATGGTAATTCCATATTCTTGAAGAAAGAACATCGCCGTTGGACTTTGGAATCGCCCAACGAAATGACTCGTGCGGATCGACCACATTCTCACTACCGAAGGTGGAGCTTGCTCGATGTCTTAGTAGTTCCATCTTTATGCGGTGACTCCGATCACCGCCTCCTTCGAGCGAAGGTACGATTCATTCGAAAGCGGAAAAAGAAAGTTTGCCACTTTGCCGCAAGAAGGAAAGAAGATACTGGAAACAGCCGAAGAAACACTCTCAAGAAGTGCCGAAGGGACCTATCATCAGGGCCCGGCACGCGTTGGTTTGGAGGTTTTCAGGAAACGAAGTCCCCCATGACTTCGCGAAAATTTACGAAGTCCTTTCGACGTGAAAATAGGAAAATCCTTATTCAACCAAAATAGCAACAAAAAAGCGGAAAAAGCGCATTTTGAGGTATGTAATATAACAAAAAAGCAAAAAGAAAACATTTCGAGCCGATTAAAGGCTCTGCCATTGGGTAGTACCATTTTGATGCTGGGAATGTCGAAAATCTCCTAGGCCAACCAAATCTGTAGCCTCAACAATCCTGCGATGCATTTTTCGCCACATATTTCAAAGGACACCGCAAGTGATTGGAGCGCGATATCTATCAACGCGTAGAATTATACTACTTTTGGTTCAAAAAAAGGGGAGAGGCAACGGTTTGATCCGCTCTCTTCACTATATGATAGATTTTTGACAGTTCTAATCGTCCAAATCAAAAAGATCCAAAACTTATGTGAACTCTCCGATATTTATGCTGCGAACCAACACAGTTGGTTTGGTGTTGGTCTAGAAACCAACAAATTCGGAAACGGATATTACGACACATAAGTTCTTGTAACTTTTTACATAACAAAGTCTGGAGTAATATTGTATACACATAGCCAAATTAGGAGCCATGTGATTGTTTGATGATTGATTGATTTGATTCATGTGATTTGTGCGCTGTAAACAAACCATTTGTTTGTTTGAGTCGTACATTTGAAATTCGCGCGCTTGCGAAAGAACACGTTCAACTCGTGAAACCTGACATGTTCGTCGTGTTTTTTTTTGGCGCTTCCTTCAGGACCTCATAAAAACGATGTCCCCGTTGCTTCTAACTCCAGAAACGAAGTCTAGTTTGACCCCAAACCATCGGTGCCGGGCCCTGCCTATCATGTACCGCTGGCTGCACTATCAAACGAAAACGGTCCGACATCTTCTAGATGCAAGATGGAATTTACCGCGGAGAACTTCTATACCAACCTCTTCCGTCCTTCAACACCCGTGCGGATGCCCGTTGTTCCCACTGGAGAAGTACCACCACGAATTTTACCTGCTGAAGTGCGCACGGCGATTCAGACCATGAAGACATCCACGGCTCCAGGACCAGACCATCTTTCCGTTGAACTTCTGCAAGACGGAGGACAACGTCTACACGAGATTCTCGCGTCGCACCTGACAACTTACCTTCAGAAGGAGAGGGTTCCCGACCAGTGGAAAACGTCAAGAACCGTCCTTCTCTTCAAGAAGGGTGAACGGGAGGATTTTCGGAACTATCGTCCAATATGCCTGCTGAGTGTGCTAAACAAACTTTTCACCAAGATTATCCTAGCTCGCATATCCATACTGGATGAAGCCCAATCCCAAGAACAAGCCGAATTTCGCAAAGGCTTCAGCTGCATGGACCACATCCAGACGGTTTCGAATGTCATAGAAATCTGCAGGGAATACCGACTGCCTCTCGTCCTAACCTTCGTCGACTACGAGAAAGCTTTACAGCGTCGAAAAGAACGCCATCCTGTCTGCGCTATTCGATCAGGCTGGACCCATTACGTGAGGACAATAGCCGACTGCTATAAGGAGTATACAACGACGATGCAGCTATTCCATCGCTCCTGACCATCCCAATTGGAAAAGGGGTCCGACAAGGCGACACAATCTCGCCGAAGCTGTTCACCGCGTCCTTGCAGTGAATGATGAAGTCACTGGACTGGGACGAGAGAGGCATACGAGTTGATGGGAGATTCCTGTCAAACCTTCGTTTTGCATACGACATCGTTCTCTTTTCGAGCAGTATCACTGAAGCAAAGACGATGCTGAAGGAATTAAACGAAGTAGGAAAGAAGATAGGACTACGAATAAATCGGAAGAAGACTCAGTTTTAAAGAACGCTCTTTGCGAGCAGAAATGGAATTTGAAGACACCCCAATCATAGAGACGTCTTCTTACGAGTATCTCGGACGTTCGATGAACATGGAGAACGATTTGAGGGAGAACTTAACCGGAGAAGAAGAGCAACCTGTGCTGCCTTTGGGCCTCTGTAGGAAACCACCGATAACTGACGGACCCGTAGCTTCGTGCCTACCAGTTCGACTCAACCGTTCTCTCGGCGCTCTGTTACGCAGCTGAGACTTGGGCCGACACTGTAGCCACGTCGAAAGCTTTACGGACCACCCACAGAACGCTCGAGCGCGGTCTTCTGAAAATGACCCGACACAAGCAAAATCTAGCCTGACTTTGCAGTACGGATATGAGAAGGATGTCCCGTCTTCGTGACTCAGCGGAATACGTTGCGAAAGCCAAGCATCGATGGACCGATCACATTATGAAAAGAACAGAGGACAGATGGACACTGAGAACATGAGTAGATTCCTCGCGAAGCCGAACTTCTCCGAGGAAGACGAGATGGACAGACGTGTTCGTGGAACGGATGGACCAGCTGAGAAATCAGCTTGATACGATTATCGCACCTGGAACTCGTGGACGCGCCACACGGCAAAGAAAAAGATCGTGGATGTCTGAATCGAAGGAAAAGATAAGTGGAAGCTTTTGTGCGAGGCCCCGCACGCCACGTAAAGATGGGCCATCGAAGTATCTAAGTAGATAAGTAAAGGCGCTTGAAACAAATTTGTCAAACATTTAGTGGCTTATTTTAATTAAAGAGCGGTTTAGAAACTCCCATTTGGCATTCGTGGTTACGAGTGACAGTGAGCACGCCGGCTTTGTGACCCACAAAAACTCTCCGATGCCAAACTGACACGGCGGCAGATTAGAATAGGGGGAGGGGCTTGAGATACATGATTTGATGCCATTAGCAACACAGATAGAAGTATTGGACGGCGATGTGTATTCTTTGATGTCGCGTTGCAGCACCGCTTCGCAAACCTTGACTTCTGTCTCGTACCCGCATACTATCCGTACTCTCCTATCCGTATAATCCTTTGTTGCAGTTCACATACTACTATTTTTCAGCACTTTCTCAAGGTTAACTTTTGATCTAAATGATCATTCTGACTCCACAAGTTCGCGATTTCAAACCTTATA